GACTCCAGACCGAAACCTCAGCCCCTGCCCTCCCAGGCCGCAAGGGCCCCTCCAGCCAGCAGGTCAGCGCCACAGACGAGACCCCTGCCCCCCGCCTCTGCGCTCCCCTCCCCCACACCAGCCCTGGGGTACACACTGGGTGCCCACGGACCCCGCCACCTGGAAACGCTGGCGCTCAGGAAGTCTCGTCGTCATCAGCACCCTCAGGAGCCTTTCCAGGCATTTGTCCTAATCGCCCTCCTCGCATGAAATTTTAATACCACAGATGTACTGGGTATCTGCTCTTTTCTCTCGGCGCATCTGCACTTGATGCAGGAGAAGAATATGCCTTCTCCACCCCCACAGGTCTGATTTCTGGCCCCTTGGGCGTGGGTTATGCACCGTGTCGTCTTAGAATTAATGTGACACAGTTCTCTTCACTTTTTTTAATACGACCACCAGGAATTTTTTTAAGAGATGGATGCGGCTCACATATTTCTACTTGGCGGCACCACTACAGACAGAAGACAAATAGAAATGTGGACGCGAGCAGCCCTGTGTGTGCACAAGACGCGCACGCACACACACGTCTGTGTTCCCTCGGAGCACACGCACACACTGCCCAGGTCTGAGCGCTAAGCGGGGCGACGGCGCAGGACAGGTGTGTCTGCAGCCAGACCCCAGCTTCACCCCAGCCGCCGCACTGCGGACCCGGGGCCCCTTACGCCAACGGCTGGTTCCTGAGCTGGGACAACATAGAATACAAGGCGACCTCAAGTAGCTTGTGCTAGGAAGGCGACAGAGCTCAAAAAAAACGGTGGGAATGTGTCAAAAAGACACAGAAGCAGCTTGAAGCAGCGGCCCCTGGCCCAACCTGAGACCATCTGAGCATCAAATGGCAGCCTCGCCACGGTCTGCTGGGTTCGGGTGTCTGCGGAGGGGACCTCCTCTGTAGGAGACCTGCGGGGGTGAGGCCGCCAACAGCCTCTCACGAGTGTCAAGACACGTCCAAAGTTAAAACAAAATCTGACTTAGCAGAAAAGGCTTCCTTGTTTCCACGGGAACGAGCCCTGGTCTCCTTGCTCCCCGCCGACCCCGGGGACCCCGAAGCCTTGGCTACCGTGTCCCCTGCCTGCGCTCGGGGACTCTCGGACACTTAAAGGCCACCTCTTGGTCCACAGGCACCTCAACGGCCTGCTGTGTCCTGCTCGCCGGAAAACATCTCGGAGCGGGGACCGGGAGCCTGCCGGGCTGCGCTTGTTCCTCAAAGGAAGGCTCAGAATGACATGAGCAAACGGGGGGACGGCTGTCAGAGGCCCAGAGACCCCCCGGGAGGGCTCACATCACACGGGCCTGGGGCGGGAGCACGGCCACAACCGGAATCTAACCAGCTCCAGGGTTTCGAAGGGTGAGCAGCGAGTGTGTCCTGAGGGACACTTGTTACTGAAGCAAGCCGTGGGGAGCGCAGGGTCAGAGGTTCACACCGGGACACGGGAGGCCAAGGGCCAGGCTCACAGCGCTTGTAACAGGACGGGAGGGAATGAAATCAGAGCCGGCTTCCTAGGGGAGGTGGCTGCTCGACTCAGCTCCCACAGGAAGACTCAGGCCAAAAGCAGGGGCAGTCTCCCAGCGTGGGCCCAGCGCAGGCTTGGGGGCGGAGATGGCAGAGGGGTTGGCACGAGGAAGGGTGGAGGTGTGGGTCGGGGGAAGCCCTCTCTGCTGACCCCGCGGGCTGCCTCCCCAGCCTGTGTCTCCGGGAAGGAGGCTGGGCGGCTGGTCCCCAAAGGTCGAGACTGCAGACTAAACGCAAGGGCTGGCTGCTGGCATCAGCAACCTCAGGACGTCATAACCCAAGCTGCTCGGGACACACACGATCTCGTATTCGGATCAGCAGATTGTGGCCATGCCTAATTAGTTTAATTAAACCCAAGGTGGCTGCCAGGCATTTTGGATTAAAAAAAAAAAAAATTAAAGCACACCCCGCCAGCTCCAGAAGGGCAGGACAAAGGAGCCCCTGGGGGCTGCCCGAGGAGCCGTCCTCGCTCCTGGCTCTGCACACAGGAGATGCTCAGTGAGTGCACACGGCTGTGACGCATCTTCAGGGCCAACTCAGCGGAGGTGCACGCAGACGGCAGGGCCACTAAAGCGCCGTGCCCTGAGACGAGGATGCCACTGTCACAGGAGAGGCCAGGGCAGCATTCTGGAATGAGGAGACGTCGGGCAGGCCTCTGGGCTGGCCGGGGCCATGGAGAGGCACGCAGTGGCCACAGGAAGATGGAAAAGAGCCCCGCCCACTGGCCAGCAAAGTAGCCAGACCCCACAGGAAACAGGCATGCACACCCCGCACCACCCATGTTGTGGAAAGAGACACACACCAGGAACAACCTGAGAAGCAGGCCAGGAGCACCCGTCAGAAAGCCAGGAAGAGCGCAGAGAAAAGGCTTCTGAAATCAGATTTATTTAAACAGTCCCGAAAGGGAGGCCCAACTTCATGTTTCAGTTTCACCACCTGCTACCTGTGTGACGTCGGGCAAGTCACTCGACCTCTCTGAGATGCAGGTTTCTGATTTATGAAACAGGGGTGCGGACTTCCCTAGCGGCTTGCTGGTTAAGAACTCGCCCGCCAATGCAGGGACACAGGTTCAATCCCTGGTCGGGGAAGACCCCACTTGCCGTGGAGCAACTAAGCCCGTGCACCTAGAGCCCGCGCTCCGAAACAAGAGAAGCCACCACAGGGAGGACAGGATCACACATACACGCGTGCATCACAACAAACAGCTGCTTGCCACGGCTAGAGAAAGTTCACGCGCTGCAACGGAGACCCAACGCGCCAAAAACATCAATAAGAAAGAAACAAGGGCGGCCTGTGCCTCCCAGGACGGTGCCTCGCCCAGGGCAGGACGGGTAAGAAGGGGCAGCTGCAGTTTTCTCGGGATGCAGTCACCGTGGACCAGGAGGACCGCGTCCTCTTCCCTCCTCGTCTCGGGCACAGAAGCACCCCAGACGGCAAAGAACAGCCGCATAGACAGACCCCACGTTCCTCTCCCAAACACTGCACAGCCAGATGTGGTCCACAGGACTGTTCTTTAATGGGAATACACAGATGGGGCCCTCCGGCTAACCCAGGTTTACGGAGCACCCACAACCAACCCCGTGCCAGCCAGAGACATACAAAGACCAGTGTGACCAGCTCCACCCTCCATGAGATGAGAGGCAGGGGAGACCAGCCCTCAGTCACAAGGGGCCATGCATGCCCACATCCAGATGAGATGGCTAATGTTCGGTCAGCGCACATCACTAAGGACATTCTCCGCCTTCCTTCAGGGAGCCCTCCCATCAGGGCTGTAAGGCGGCCCCTAGTGCCGGCCCCACTACACAGGTGAGGAAACTGAGGCCCATAAAGCGGTCGGTGGCAGAAGGCGACAGTGCCCATCTCACTAAAAGCACGTGGTCGTGAAGACAGACACACCTTAGCTCCCTTTAGCGCCCCTTCACCCGGGCTGGGGTGGGGGGCTCCAGGGACCCCAGGAAGTCTCTGCATTTCCAGCACTGGGGCTGAGCCAGCCACCTGCGAGAGCCCGTCCTCCCCATCCTGTCCTGGAGAGGGGGCAGCTCCAGGACCCAACCCCGGCTGTGCCCCTCTGCCAACCAGCTGGGGGGTGGGGGGCAGCCCCTGTGCAGACACTCCAGGCCCAGCTCTGCCCTCAGCAGCTCCTCCTCCCCTCAGTTCCTCCAGCCCTAAAATGGGTAAGTCCTTCCCAGCCCCCGGGGGAGAGGACTGGATCTGTGAGAGCACCCCGCAATCAGGCCGCCCGGCCCCAGGACCTCAGCTCCGAGAGGGCCCGGGTCGGCGCTGGCTTCAGGGAGCTTGGGGCCCTCCCTGGGCCATGCGCCACGGTGGAGCCGGGGGGTGGCCCCCTGCCCATCAGGACTTGTCTTTGTCAGCAGCCGCCCCATCCTCTCGGGGGGCGGGGGGGTGCCCCCATCTCCTTGGAAACGTGGTCACAGCCAAAGGGCAGAGGCCACGCAGTGCAGCCTGGAAAAGCTGTGACTCACGCCATCCCTCCTCCCCAGCCCACTTCGGATGTCACACTTGTGAAGGGCCCTTGTCCGTCCGGGCTTGCTGAGGGTCACAGAAGAGGGGCTCTGCTGCTGGCCTGCTGCAGGATGGCCCCGCAGAGGTGCTGGGCTGGGGCCGAGGGGCCAGGAGAGCAGGAAGCAGCCTGCCCTCCGCTTAAGTCTTCACCAAGTTCCTTAGAAACCAGAGAGGCAGCTCCTGCTGGCCAAGCAGACATTTTCCTGCCTGCCTGCCGGGCAGCCACATGCGCCTCCGCCGCGACAAAGGCCATGCTTGAGGGTCCTGGGGAAGCCACGAGGGGCTCCGGGTTCCCACCGAGTTGCATGACCCTGAGGCGCGGCGCTGCCTGCCCCCTCCCCCGGGGGTCAGGAGGAGGCCGGCTGGCGAGGGGGCGGCCCCCACCCACCCACCCGCTCTCCCTGGCGGCTAGGGCTCCAGGCTCCACCAGCCCCTCCCGCCGCGCCCCGCTCCCGATGCCTGTCGGTTCGCCTTCCAGGGCGTCCAGCCACCAGGCGCAAAGCCAAAGGACACTACGCCTGAGGAGGCCACCGGCGCGGCCGGATCTCTGGGGTCCGCAGGGGCCGGAACTCGCTGGGTCCCGACGCCAAGGCCGGGGAGGGAGGGCGGCGGTGGTGAGTGCCCCGCCGGGGCTCGATATGCCCACAATCCCAGGAGGCGCGGACCCAGCGGCGGACGCTCCCAGGCAGTGCCCGGAGGCGGCGGAGGTGCGCCCCGGGCTTGGGGGACTTTGGCTAACTTCGTGCCTCCGGGGATCGCCCCTCGAAGCAGCCGGCTCCGAGGCCCGGGGCGCCTCTCCTCTCGGCTCCCCGTCCAGCCGTCCGCCGACGTCCCCAAGGCTACCGCTCGGATCCGGGCCCCGGGGCCGCCCAGCGGCGCGAACAGCCACAAACCGGGGCCCCTCCCGGCGCGCCCGGACCCTCACCTGGGACATCTGAGGCCGGAAGTTGACGTCCTTGAGGTCGATGGAGCCGGGGCAGAGGTTGTGCAGCAGCTGGCACAACAGGACGCCGTCGCGAAGCGCCTGGGCCAGGTCGAAGACCACGGCCGAGGGCCAGACGACGCGGTGGTTGGGCGGCAGGACCCTGCAGTCGATGAGCCAGCGGCCGCATTGCCGCCACTGCTCCATGGCGCCTTCGCCCGCCGGGCCGGCCAGCTCAGGGCCGCGCTCCGGCCAAAGTGCGGCGGCCGCGGGGCATCCCGCCCGCCCGCGCGGGGCTCGGCGGCCGGGGCGGGGCTTCGCGCGGGCGGCCCCGGGCCCCCGCCGCGCCGCCGCGCGTCCCCGCCTCCTCCTCCTCCGCCTCCTCGGCTCCTCGCCCACGTGCGGTCGCGGGGCGGGCGCCGGGCAGCCGGCCGGGTCCCCCTTCACACACACAAGTCCCTCCAGGCCCCGGGCCGGGCTCCGCGCAGCCGACCGCCGCAGCGCCCCTCGATCCGCGCCGCCCGGCGCCGCATTCTTCGCTCGGGGCGCCCCGCGGCCGCCGCAGCTTCTGCCCCGCCCGAGACAAAGGCCCGGAGGGTCGCTCGCTCGGCGCGTCCGGGGCCTGGGCCGCCCTCGCCGCCGCCGCTTTGTTCGCCCCGCCTTCGGGTTCAGCGCGCGGTGCCCGGCGATCCTACTCTGCAGCTCCGCAGCTCCGGGGTGCAGGGGGCGCGGGGGCGCGGCCCGGGGCGGGGTAGGGGCGGGGCCGGCGCGCGCGCCTGGCGCCGCCCCCTCGTCCCCCACTTCCTGCCCCGCGGCAGCTCTCCGAAGTAGCGCAGGGCGGGGGCAGCGGCGCGGCCGCGGCCCCGGGCCCGCGGACTTTCTCCGAGAGGCACCAGGACTTTGGGGAACCTCTGCGCCCCGGGCGCGCGACCTCGCCTGTGGAGCGACGGCCGGTCGTGGTCTCTGCGCCCCTCTTGCGTTTCAGGAGGAGTTCGGGAGGTGGCCCTCGTCGTGTTGGGGGCCTCTGCGTGGTCCTTCGGGCAGGACAGACCCTGAAGGGGGCACAGACTAGGCGGACTCGTCCGAAGCCCCCTCGGTCCACGAAGCGACCCCCGGAGGAGAACTCGAGGCGGGAGGCACACGGGCGGGAGGCCCGCCCAGAGCCCCTCCCTGTCCTGAGCCCTGGGCAAGGACCCGCAGGAAAGCCCCCGGTCGCGCACAAAGGCAGGGATTCCCCTGTTCTGTGACCCGAAGGCTTGCCGCTGGCAGCTGCCCAGAGGGCGAACCCTGGCGTCGGAGATGGGATATGTGACATAGCAGGTGGGAGAGAGGGAAGGGGACGCGACCAGACCCGGCCCTGGGTGGCTCCTCCTTCACGCTGGGTCCCCTGACCCTGCTTTGAACTCCTTCCTGGGCCACGCCCTATGTGGGGGAGTGGGTGGGCTGTGTTCCCGGCAGCTGGCCTCCTGCGAAGGTGGCCGGACTTCTAGGAGGAAAGGAGCCAGTCTGGCAGTGAAATGCTGTGGATCCTGGCTCAGCTGTCAGGAGACCCCGGTTCTCAGCTGGGTGAACCTGAACAAGTGTGATCCCCTCGCTAAGACTTGGGGTGAGGGTGGGGGTGACCAATCCCTGAGCCCCCCACACACTCGGGTTGAGCCCTGGGGCAGCACCCGGCAGCTTCCCTCGTGACCCAGATTGCCTCTTTTTTTTGGCATTCCTGGGGCAGAAGCCAGCACAGGGCAAGAGTCCGCTGCTGGCCCAGCGAGGGTCCCCTGAGACCCCCTGCCACCACCACCCCCACTCTGGGCACTGGTCTCTGCAGAGAGTCAGGCTGGCCCCTTCCCAAACCCCTTCCTGAGGAGGAAGAACAGGAACCCTGGCCAGGTTCTGGCCCCTGGACAGAAGTGAGGGAGGGGCTGGCCTCCCGGGACACACCCCAGACCCCACCCCAGACCCTGGCGGGAGTAACATCAGGCCAAGTTGCTGTCCGGGCGTCCTTCCTTCCAGGAGGAAGAGGGTGTGGCAGCTTCATGAACCTGGACAGGAAGGAGCCGGCTTGAGACGGGTGGGATCCAGCCTGCCTTGCCCAAGACAAAAGGTTGCCCCTCGCAGCAGGCAGATTCCTCCGGCATCGCCCTGAGAAATCACCAAGTGGGGGCACCTCCAGCCGCCCCTCATCTGAGACACTGCGGGGCCCCCTCCCCGGGCAGGACCCCCCCCCAATAGGGTGGACAGCCCCTCCCTGCGGGAATCGCTGGTGAGGAGGGGACAGGAGTAGTTATCCGGGAGCTGTGCACAGTGCTGGGGGCGGAATGGGGTGCTCCTTGGGGTTCTCATGACTCCCCATCTTACTGCCTGGACAGGGAACCAGCCCAGAGGAGGAGCCCCAGCTGGGGACAGGGGCAGCCCCGCGCCGGCCAACTGCACGGGCGATCGTCTGCCGCCCCCTGGTGGGAGCAGCGGGCACTGTGGCCACCTGGCTGCCCCGTGGCCAGGCGCTGCGCAGCGCCCACATGGTCAGGCTTAGCCCGGAGGGGAGCCAAGGCAGGAGACCTGGGCCTCCCCACTGTGTGTTACTGAGCCAACGCCTGCGCCTTCCTGACTCGCAGTGACCTAAAGAGAGCACGGGGGACACTGGCCCGCCCCGTGGGCCTCCCAGGGTTTGGACGAGGCTCTGAAGGAGGGGGCTGGGTGGGAACGAATGAATGAAGGGAGCTTGACGGAACTCTTCCAAATCCTTGGTGCGTCGTGAGCGCGGCTGGGCTGTTTCGAGTCAGAGGACGGCTCAAGAAGAGGGGACACCGCTCCGGAACGTCCCCCCGGCATCCACCCCTGCTCACACTCAGCTGCTTGCCGAGACGACCTGTGGCACAACCCAGGGGGCACCATCCCATCGTCCATGCAGACGGCGCCCGGGGAGGAGCCCACAACCTGCCAGTGGATGGTGTCCTGGGAGGACACTCGGGGCTTCCCAGGTGGCTCAAATGGTAAAGAATCCGCCTGCAATGCAGGAGACCGAGGTTCGATCCCTGGGCTGGGAGGGTCCCCTGGAGGAGGGCATGGCGACCCACCCCAGTGTTCTCGCCTGGAGAATCCCCGTGGACAGAGGAGCCTGGCGGGCTACAGCCCGTGGGGTCACAGAGTCGGACACCACCGCGTGAGTAAGCACACATGGCCCACCGTGACGGCACTGTTCCTCAGCAAGAGAGGCCTGTGCTAAGCGCTGGACGGTCCCAGGAGAGGCAGGAAGCTGGGAGTCCCAGCCCAGTGGCACAGGTGAAGCCCACAGGGCAGAGAGTCACGCACCTCAAAGTAGGGACAGAGGGTCACAGGCCCCCCCTCTGGGCCGCTCGGCCTCCACCTGCAGCGCCCTGGCCCCCTCCGGTCTGTCCTCAGCAGTCAGCAGAGACCCAGTCAAGGCTCGTGAGGCCTTGTCAGCTCCTGCCCAGACGGGGGGGCACTCGGAGGCTCCTCCTCACCAGAGAGAAAATCAGATGTCTTCCCAGGCAGGTCCCACGTGGCGTGGCTGCTCCCCAGATGACCTCACTTCCTGCAGCTCTGCAGCCACACCCAGCGGGGCCCACCCCAGGGCCTTTGCATCTGCCGCCCTCATGCCTGGGACTCTTGCCCCAATGACCAAGAGCGTGGCCCGCACCCTCTCTGCTCCGCACTTTTCTGTTGCTCTGTCTCATCCCCTCAGATCGTCAGCTCTGTGGTCATGGGGGCCACCTCTGGCCTGTCCCCAGTTCCCTCCCAGCACTGCAAACTGGACTCAGCCCGTGGTAGGTGGTCGAACAAGTTGTTAAATGGAACACCACGTAGGGAATTCCCTGGCAATCCAGGGGTTACGACTCCAAGCTTTCACTGCTGAGGGCAGGGGTTCATTCCCCGGTCAGAGAACTAAGATCCTGCAAGCCGCAGAGCTGAAAAAAAAAAAAAATTAAACACCAAATAAATAAACCAACAGCTCAACAAAGCACTGCAACTACAATTTTAAAATCCAATTATCTTCTTTCATAGAAGTCATAAGTGGGTAAAACGGATTCAAAGGTTTAAAAACTAGCCTGTATAATCTATTGATCCACAGTGTATCTCACGTCTTTCTGTGAGTCTGAAACATTACACTCTAGGAGATTAGCACCGACTTTGCATATCATTCTAACTATTTGCGACTGGAATAGCCACTCCCATTTCTTGAGCTCTACGTGGCTGGCCCGAGGGCTTTGTCTGCGTCACCTGGCCTCGGCTAAGCCTCACAGTGAGCGTAGTCATTATTGTCCGGAGTGATTAAATGCAGAAACCCAGCACACTGGCAGCTGCCCAGCGTCACCCCGCGAGGCGCCAGGGAGCCGGGTCCACACGCCAGGCCGCCCCAGCACCTGCTCCTGAACCCCAAAGTGGCGAAGGGTCTCCACACCTGGAACCAAAAGCTGGTGGTTGACATGCTGGTTTGGATAGATCAGAGAGCCGGAAGACAGGAAAATGCTGCGTGTCTAAAACACGTAGATCCTGACTCAGCATGGAACGCAACAACCTCAAAAGGCTGGCACACACACACAGACGCTCACACACGCACACACTCACATGTACACACATGCACACGCATGCACATGCTTGCACGCACATAGCCACTGCAGAAACGGGCGCAAGCACAGTCAGGGGCAGCAGGGCTGGCCGGAGGGTGCCTGCCACGGACACAGCCTGTGTCTGAGCGGAAGGAGGGCAGGGTATGGAAGGGCCGCCACCAGCCCTGAGCTCCTGAAACCCAGTGGCTGCGGGGTCCAGGCGACCCCAGAGAGGACACCCTGCTTCTGCCTCACATGGAATGACTGCCCAGCTCCAGACTGTTGTCAATCTGCTGTCAGGGGACGGGCCCGCAGCTCGAGGGCCGGCCCGAGGTCAGGCCTTGGGCAGCGGCGGGGTCAGAGCCCTGGTCTGGACACAGAGTCTGGCCTGCAATGCCTCCAGCGGGGCCTTGGCTTCTGCTTCCCCTTGATGGCCTGATGGCTCCGGGGAAGCAACACCAGGTGTGTGTGTGTGTGTGTGTGTGTGTGTGCCTGCCGGGGCGAGCCCACAACAACCCCACGAGGCCTCCTGAGTTCCCACGGAGCCCCCTGATCAGTAGGAGAGCTCATTGCTGGGGCGGCACTGGGATTTCGCTCTGAATGGGGACCTCGGGGTCTCTCCATGTGTTGGGTGTGGTGCAGGCCGAGTGGAAGGGCTGGGGAGCTTTCTCTGCCCACGCAAGCAGCCCAGACCCTTCCCTGCCACACAGGCATCCTCTGAGAGCCAGGGGGTTCCTCAGCCCAGGTTCCCCCAAATCCCAGGGCTGCTGCGAGGTCTCAGGGCTTCTTACCAGCAGGGCCCTTATTCTCCAGCCGGAGTCCAGCTGCTCCTGCAAACACCCTCCCCCGCAGCCGGAGACCACTCACCCCCCGACTCCGCCGACCTCCGACCCCCAGCCCCCCATCCTCCACCCAGAAAGCATTTACTGAGCCCCGGCCTTGTTCTTAGGGGAGAGGAAGCGAATGTTTTGACTTTTCCCAACATGACTGGGTGAAGGAACTATTCTCACGTCCAAACCACATGAACACACACATTTTGCAAATTCCATTTGTAGCTACATCATGCAAGTTCAGCTGTCACAATTTCCCGGGAAACCATAGGTGTAGAAAAAGACCATCTGGCCCGCCATGGAGTCAGACTGCACCCACTGAGCCGTTGGCTGCGGGCTTTTGGAAGAGGCAGAATACAGGCATTTTACCTCTTGCTGCTTTGACTTACGAGACCCTGATCCATGGGTCGTGACTCCGACTGCAACCTCTGATATCTCACCTCCAGGGCACGTCACACTCCCTGTCTGGGGACCCCTTCCTTAGAGCCGGGCTCAGGCTCCAGTGCAGGGTGCTTAAGTCTCTAAGGCGGGTGGTGGGGGGGTCCTCGAGGACTCAATTCACTTTAGACATGAGGCTGAGAAGTTGGGATTTGGGGCAGATCCTGGATTTCTGCAGGACCCTTGTCATCATGACCTCAACAGGCCATCTCGATGAAGGACAGAAGTCCAGTCCTGCCGAGGGAAGCCCCAAGTCCCAGGTGGCTGGTCGTGTGTTGCAGGACCCGAGGGGTGGCCGTGGTGTTCAGAACGCAGTCAGGGAGGGCCGGTCAGGGTAGGTCTGCCCCTGCAGACCAGGGGCAGTCCTGCCCTGGTCCAGTCCCGCCCTCGGCCTGGGCATGAGACAGTCCTCCTGGGGCGACACGACAGCACAGCCAAGGAAGTGCTTGCTAGACCCTGCTTCTGACCCAGCAGGAAGGTTCCAAGTCCTAGAACGTGCCCATTGCCCCAAAGAGAGAGCCATGCCCCTCAGCTGCCCTTCCAGCACCCCGCCCACTCCAGACCTCGCAACTGGTAGCCGACTTTCTGTCTCCATGGATTTGTCTCTTCTGGACATTGCATCTGGATGGAATCATGTAACACCTGGCCTTCTTTCACTCAGCATAACGCCAAGGTTGGTTCTTATTGTAGTGTCTATGAATAACTTGTTGTTTAGTCGCTAAGTCATGTCCAACTCTTTGCAACCGGATTGAACTGTAGCCTGCCAGGCTCCTCTGTCCATGGCATTTCCCAGACAAGAATACTGGAGTGGGTTGCCATCCCCTTCTCCAGGGCATCTTCCCGACCCAGGGATCGAACCCACATCTCCTGCATTGCAGGCAGATTCTTTACTGCCTGAGCCCAGGGAAGCAGCCTGTGTAACTACTATATTATTTTTTATGATTGAATGATAACTCCTTATAGGTGGAATCCATTTCAATAATTCATTTTATTTTCATCCCTCTGAAACATTATCATTTCAACATGTAATCAACCTCAAAACTTATTAATGATATATTTTACATTTTTCTTTTCATGTTAAAGTCTTCAAAATCCAGTGTGTATCTTATACTCCCAGCACTTTTCAGAAGCAGGAACACTAAATTGTCATCAGAAATGCTTGATCTGCATTTATTAAAGTTCAGAAAATGTATCATTGAACAATAGATTCATGTACCCCAAGTTGTTTCGAACATACATAAAAGTTTGCCCCAAACTGAATTGAGTATGCAAGTTTAAGCTAATTACAACTGAGAAAAGTGAAAGTGTTAGTCACTCACTCAGGTCTGACTCTGTGTGACCCCATGGACGAGAGCCCGTCAGTCTCCTCTCTCCAGAGATTTCCCAGACAAGAATACTAGAGTGGGTTGCCATGCCTTCCTCCAGGGGATCTTCCTGACCCAGGGATCAAACCCAGGTCTCCTGAATTGCAGGCAGCTTCTTTAACATCTGAGCCACAGGGAAGTCCCACTTACAATTAAACACAATTCAAACTTCGACCCCTCTGTGGGACCTGGGTGCAGAGCCCGACCCAGCTGGCCTGGCCCTCCGGGACCCGCCGCTCCGCGTGTGGCCCTGCTCGCGCCCTCAGCCAAGGCCACCTGGACGAGGGTCTGTCCTCCAGCACTGATGCGTCCACCAGGGCGGAGCGCTGGCCTCTCCTCCCCTCAAACTTTAACCTGAGCCTCGGCAGGCGCCCACTTATGGCACTTCTGGGTGCCCACTATCTGCCCTGCTGTAGACCCCAGGCCTCCTCTCCGCCACCCCCCAGGGTCCGGAGGCGGGTCACAGTTCTCAAGCTCCATCCCGCCTTGGCAGCCTGTGACATCAGGAGCCCCGCGCACCTGGGCTTCCAGCAGACACACCCTGGATTTTCTTTGTGGCTGCGGACAGGACAGGTCTGTGCCGACGCCCCGCCAGGCTGCGTGCCCCGTTCCTCCCGCTGGCCTGGCCGCTCCTGGAGGGGCCGAAGCCGGACTGAGGAACAGCCTGATGGCTTCCCAGCTGCCCCACCCACCTCTCCTTCCAGACAACACTGATCCTGCTGTTTCCCCAACCCCACTCCCAACACTGGGGGTCAGGAAGCAGGACCAAGCAGCTACTACGCACCGGTTGGCCTCCACCCATCGATAGCAAGAGCCCCACTGCTGGCAGAAAGTGGGATGAGAAGGTGCCCGGCACAGGGCGGGGATTGCTAGAACTCTCCCGGGTGGTGAACCAGGGCGGATGCCCTCAGAATGGAAAGTGCTGGCAGTGGGTGCGGTATCTCAAGCGTTTGAATGGTGTGTGTTAGTGGCTTGGTCATGTCCAACTCTTTGCAACCTTATAGACCGTAGCCCGCCAAGCTTCTCTGTCCATGGAATTCTCCAGGCAAGAATACTGCAGTGGGTCACCATGCCCTCCTCCCGGGGAACTTCCTGATCCAGGGATCGAACTGGGGTCTCCTGCACCTCCTTCACTGCCGGCGATTCTTCACTGTCTGAGCCACCAAGGGGAGAGCAACTAGGGGAAGCACGGAAATACCGGCTGGAAAAGCATCTGAGAAAGTCTGCGAACGGCTGCGGGTTCATTGCCACTGGGGGCAGGGGTGTGAGCTGGAGCAGCCGGACAAGGACATCGCATAAGGAGGCTGCGTGCCCTGCAGCTGCAGGGCAGGAAAAGGGGTGACAGTCCCAGGGAGGCTGCAGTCAGCATGTTGCCTGCGTCACGATCAGGGCCCTGACGGAGAACCAGGGGCCGCACGAGACAGTAAAGGTCAACATGCCGGGAACCCATCCGCCCACGCTCCCGCTGGAGCCTCTGGCCAGCAGAAGTGGCCATACTCCCCTTAAAGGCTAGCCTTCCCCTGCCTGAAGACCACCCGAGACCTCTGCCTTCTGAGACATCCTTCCTCTGCTTCTGGCTGACGGCATCTTTGAATATCAGTCTGTGTCTGTGACTAAAACAGAGGAATCTTAGCTTTTCATTCTCTTTTTTGCAGAGCCATTTAAAAAGTGCCCCACACGGCAGCCACGCACTTCCTCTTTGGGCACTACTGCTGTCCGCCAGAGCCTGCCCCAGGCCTCTCTCAGGGATGCGCAGGAGACGGCTTACTGAGCTGTATGGCCCCTATTCCAATCCCCAGAAAGGCAATGCCAAAGAATGCTCAAACCACCGCACAACTGCACTCACCTCACACGCTAGTAAAGTAATGCTCAAAATTCTCCAAGCCAGGCTTCAACAATACTTGAACCATGAACATCCAGATGTTCAAGCTGGATTTAGAAAAAAGCAGAGGAAGCAGAGATCATATTGCCAACATCCGCTGGATCATTGAAAAAGCAAGAGAGTTCCAGAAAAACATCTACTTCTGCCTTATTGACTATGCCAAAGATTTGACTGTGTGGATCACCACAAACTGTGGAAAATTCTGAAAGAGAGGGGATTACCAGACCACCTGACCTGCCTCCTGAGAAGGAAGGTCAGGAAGCAACAGTTACAACTGGACATGGAACAACAGACTGGTTCCAAATAGGAAAAGGAGTACGTCAACACTATATATTGTCACACTACTTATTTAACATATGCAGAGTACATCATGAGAAACGCTGGGCTGGATGAAGCACAAGCTGGAATCAAGATTGCCAGGAGAAATATCAATAACTTCAGATATGCAGATGACACCACTCTTATGGCAGAAAGTGAAGAAAAACTAAACAGCCTCTTGTTGAAGTGAAAGAGGAGAGTGAAAAATTTGGCTTAAAGGTCAACATTCAGAAAACTAAGATCATAGCATCCAGTCCCATCACTTCATGGCAAATAGATGGGGAAACAGTGGAAACAGTGGCAGACTTTATTTTCTTGGGCTCCAAAATCACCGCAGATGGTGACTACACCCATGAAATTAAAAGATGCTTACTCCTCGGGAGAAAAGTTATGACCAACCTAGACAGCATATTAAAAACCAGAGACGTTACTTTGCCAACAAAGGTCCGTCTAGTCAAAGCTATGGTTTTTCCAGTGGTCATGTAAGGATGTGAGAGTTGGACTGTGAAGAAAGGTGAGCACTGAAGAACTGATGCTTTTGAACTGTGGTGTTGGAGAAGACTCTTGAGAGTCCCTGGACTGCAAGGAGATCCAACCAGTCCATCCTAAAGGAAATCAGTCCTGGGTGTTCATTGGAAGGACTGATGTTGAAGCCAAAACTCCAATACTTTGGCCACCTGATGTGAAGAACTGACTCAATTTGAAAAGACCCTGATGCCGGGAAAGATTGAAGGTGGGAGGAGAAGGGGACGGACAGAGGACGAGATAGTTGGATGGCATCACCGACTCGATGGACATGAGTGTGAGTAAACTCCGGGAGTTGGTGATGGACAGGGAGGCCTGGTGTGCTGCGGTTCATGGGGTCACAAAGAGTCAGACATGACTGAGCGAATGAACTGAACTGATGGCCCCTATTGGGCGTCTCAAGTGGTGCTCGTGATAAAGAACCTGCCTTTCAATACAGGACATGTAAGAGATTCGGGTTCGATCCCCGGGTCAGGAAGATCCCCTGGAGGAGGGCACGGCAACCCACTCCAGTGTTCTTGCCTGGAGAACCCCATGGGCAGAGGATCCTGGCGGGTTCGCAGACTCAGACATGACCGAAGCGATCAGCACAGCACACACATGGCCCTTTTTGCCCCATCTGCTAAGAAAGCTGGGTTTTCATCGCTTTGAGCCACAGCCTGGCCAAATACCAATCCCAGTTTCCCTCCATCTTCCCTGTGCCTGTTTCCAGGTTAGGATTTAGAGCGGGTTGGACGGTGGGCCCCAGAAAGAGCTGTCACATCAAACTCCTGCAGTCTTCGAACTGCGACCTTATTTGGAAAAGGGGGTCTTTGCAGATGTAATTAGCTATCTTGAGATGAGATTATCCCAGATTATCTAAATCCAGTGACAAGTGTCCTTATTAGAGGCGTGCAGGAGAGACAGGGAGGCGTGGAGAGGCCAGGGGAAGACCAAGGCAGCGATGGGGTCTCTCTGCCAGAGAAGGCCAAGCCTTGGCGGCAGTCATCAGAAACTCGGAGAGAGGTCTCGCCCCACAGCGTCTGGACGGTGTTGGGTTGGGGTGGGGTCGGTGGCCCTGCCAGCAATTTGGTTTCCCGCTGGCCAGGCAAGAGTCAAATACATAATGAAGGCCATTCACTGAAAGATATCAAATACATTCAAATTCAGGAGGTCCTATCAATAATATTTTTAAAAATCCCTGACTTAAAAAAAAAATCCCTTTGGAAGTTGGCAGAGCACCAGTTCATTATTCCAAAAACTGATAAATAAAGAGAAAGGATGCAGCACTGATCCTGCCTTTCCTATATGAGCTGTGTTTCAGGGTAACCCGAGAGTTGAGGAAGGGGGCTTCCCTGGTGGCTCAGTGGTAAAGAATCTGCCTCAGTGCAGGAGACACAGATTCGGCCCCTGGTCCGCAAAGATCCCACATGCCCCGGAGCAGCTACGCCCTTGCACCACAGCTATTTGAGCCTGTGCTCAAGAGCCCAGGAACCACAACTGAAGCCCGTGTGCCCCAGAGGCTGTGCTCCGCAAGCAAGAGACGCCACCGCAGTGAGAAGCCGGAGCACCACACCAGAGGGTAGCTTCTGCTTGCGGCAGCTAAAGAGAAGCCTGCAGAGCGGTGCAGACCCAGCACGGCCGAAAGCAACTAAATAAAAACTCAGAAAGAGCTGATGAAGAAAGTTCTTCCTTCAGGAGGATTCCAGAAAACAGGCAGAAAGAAAATTAGAATTGGATGAGCCCTGATTTGCAATCCTTAGTGAGTAACGGAGCTCGGCTATGATCATTTTGGGCAGGTAAAGTTATCCTGTGAAAGACAGGTGGGGATTTCCGTAATGAGTAGGTAGGTCAGGCTGCCCATAGCCAAGGTCAGCGGTCAGTGCTAGGACTGAGAGAGAAGCACCCAGCGTGGTCCTTCCCGTCTCGTGACGTGCTGGGACGTTCACAGCACCACTCGTGAAGCAGCCTCGCTGACAAGTCGGACCTTCGTCTGACCAAGGCTGAGCGCCACCTGCCAGTTTCCAGAACACAGAGAGGAAAGCAGAACACGTGAGTGACGCCAGCGGGACAGAATCCAGCCAGATCCAGGGTGCAGACGGGCTGCAGAAACACGATCTGTGTCTTCAACAGCTAGATGGCTGGGGAGAAAGCTGCAGGCGCAGAATGGAGAGCGGTGTAAGAGACGCGGAACCAAATACTCGGATCGTCTCTCCAGCAAATTAAACATATAATGACATTTATCAGACAATCAGCAAACATGAACACTGACCAGATATTAGATATTGGTGAAGAATTCTTAGGCCAGCATGTGACTCCGTTACTGTGATTCTGTATAAAAACAACAACAGGGAATTCCCTGGCGACGGTCCAGTGGTTAGGACTCGGCGTTTTCATTGCTATGGGCATGGGTTTGATCCCTGGTCAAGGATCTAGACCCCTGTAAGGCACACAGTGCAGCTACCGATTTTTTTTTTTTAAAGGACATATTTATGGTGAACCAACATGACGCCTGGGACTAGTAGGTATCACTTTTTCATGACCTGTAATTCACATTTTCAAAATCGTTTTTGTGAAATCTGACCTACAGGATTATGCATCAAACACGAAGGGGCAGCTTACGGCAAAGCGGTCGAGTCAGGACCTAGGTAACCAGGGCCAGGTCAAGGGTCAGAACTTGACAAGCGGCTCATTCACTTTGGCTCTGTGACTCAGCCCTGTTTCTGTAGGTACTGGACTTCACCCCTCTTCACTGTGGTGAGTAGTCCTCTGTGTGAACACGCCCCAGTTCATGTCCCCATTCTGATGATGATACACGTCGGGTGAAAGGAAAACGTTAGTTGCTCAGTCGTGCCCAACTCTTTGCGACTCCATGGACCGTAGCCCACCAGGCTCCTCTGTCCATGGGATTTCCCAGGCAAAAGAAGTGGAGTGGGTCCCCATTTCCTTCTCCAGGGGATCTTCCCGACCCAGGGACCAAACCCGGGTCTCCTGCATTGCAGGCAGATTCTTTACCATCTGAGCCACCAGGCTAAAGCCTTTAGAACATTTCAGCCTCATTAAAAACAAGCCCAGTGCCCTTCCTGGTGGTCCACTGTTTAGGAGCGTCCCTCGTGGCTCAGATGGTAAAAGCGTCTGCCTGCAATGCGGGAGACTCGGGTTCGATCCCTGGGTGGGTAAGATCCTCTGGAGAAGGAAATGGCAACCCTCTCCAGTACTCTTGCCTAGAAAATTCCATGGATGGAGGCGCTCGTGGGCTACAGTCCATGGGATTGCAAAGAGTCAGACACAACTGAGCAACTTCACTTTCACTTTCACTTTTTCTTTCCAGTGGCTAGGAATCCACTTGTCAGTGCCAGGGACACAGGTACACTCCCTGGTCAGGGAACTGAGAGTCCATATGCTGCAGGGCAATTAGGCCCACACACCTCAACAGAGACCCAGCAAACCCCACCTCAAAACAAAGAGAAAGCAACCTTGAACCTATTAGCTATTACCCCGCATTCTCTCCCGACCTCTGCCTCAGCATTTGTTGTTGTTCAGTTGCTAAGTTGTGTCTGGATCTGTGACCCCGTGGACTGCAGCACGCCCGGCTTCCCTGTCCTTCCCTATGTCCCAGAGCTCAGTCAGATTCATGTTCATTGAATCGGTGATGCTGCCTAATCATCTCATCTTCTTCCGCCCTCAATCTTTCCCAGCATCAGGGTCTTTTCCCATGAGTCAGCTCTTTGCATCAGGTGGCCAAAGCATTGAAGCTCCAGCTTCAGCATCAGTCCTTCCAATGAATATTCAGGCTTGACTTCGTTTCAGATGGACTGGTTTGATCTCCTTGCAGTCCAGGGGACTCTCAAGAGTCTTCTCCACACCACAGTTTGAAAGTATCAGGTCTTTGGGCTCAGCCTTCTTTATGGTCCAACTCTCACAAAACCAGCCCTAGGCAGGCACTGATCTACCTTCTGTCTCCCTAGGTTTCCCTATCCTGGACATTTTATATCATTGGAATCATACAATGGTCTTTGGTAACTGACTTGTCTCACGTTGCATACTGTTGGCAAGATTCATCCATATTGAAGCATGTATCAGTATTTCATTTTTCAAAAAATGACTGAGCAGTCTTCCATTGCATAGACCTACACTGATTCTCAAGCAGTTGCTACTGGTTTGGCTGGATGGTCAAGGGCTTGGGAAGAAAAGGACGGGGAGCCTGATGACAAGGAGATCTGGAGAAGAGACCCAGGAGGGACTCACAACGGACACAGATCATATCTGTATCCCTGGTGGACACATGGCTCCGAGGCCCGTCCAGTGCAGAGAAGGCTGCCAATATCAGATGGACACAGGATGAGAGACAAATGTGTCTCCCGACAGCCTGACACGCGTGGCCGGGAACCAAAGGGTGGAGCTGGGGGAGGCCCTCCAACAACGCCTCCCATCAGCTCTAATTCTGCCCACACCTCTGAGCTCCGACACCTGGAAAGTGGGTTCTCCAGCAGTGGGGTGGGGGGGAATGGGCCCCCCCAGGGAGAACGTCAGTGGCTCTTTGATGTGGAAGATGAGCCTGCCACTGAACTCTGGGCCTCCTGATACCACCCAATCAGAATGCTCGCAAGTGGGTTAGCTGACCAGCTGGGGTGATGGAGCCCTAACACCAAGAAGGTGAGTCACTGCTGCCGACTGGGGTTGAGGGCAGGAAAACCGTGTTGAGGACCCAGAGGGTTCTCCCCAGGGCATGAGCATGTTAGCATTTCTATCAGCAGCAGCAAAGTGCATGGAAAGTTGTAGTCACCAAAGACAGACAGACAGGTGGAGAGACAGACAGACAGATGATAGAGATAGGTAGATGATAGAGAGAGATGAGATAGATAGATAGATAATAGATATAGATAGATTGACAGGAGGACACTTGAGAGTTTGTGCCCTTCAGGAATGCAGGTATAAGTCACCCCACTAAATAAACCTCAGCCAGCTGAGACGCTGCTGAAGGCAAAGGAAAGCCCTTCTGACTGTCACAGAAACAAGGGCAGTAACAGCTATTCTCATCTCCGCCTGCCTGTTAGGTATGAACATATTTGGACCCAGCTCTTCTTCTATTTCCTCACCTTCCTTACGACTTTCAATACAGTTTTGTTGGAAGTTAACTTTGCAATTTAGTTTCAGCTGAAAGAATATCCAGACAGAAGGAAACTGAACAGGAAAGTAATTAACCTAGCCCAGAAAAGGATACCATCACTGGTAGGACTTTGTACTTCCTCTATTTGGGGAGAAGACTGTCTCACTTTTTTTTAATTTAAGTATAGTTGATTTACAATATTTCAGGTATTAGAAAACTGATTCATATATATATACATATGTATATGAATATATACATATGTATATATATATATATGTTCTTTTTCAGATTCTTTTCCATTATAGGTTATTACAAGACACTGAATATAGCTCTCTGTGCTATATACAGCAGGTCCTTGTTTATCTATTTTATGTATAGTAGTGTGTATCTGTTAATCCCAAATTCCTAATGTATCCCTCCCCTTTAGTAACTAGTAACCTTTCCACTTTAGTAACTATAAATTAGTTTTCTATGTCTCTGAGTCCATTTCCGTTATGTAAATAAATTCATTTGTACCATTTTTTTTGGATTCCACGTATAAGTGACATCATATGATATTTGTCTTCTCTATCTGGCTTACTTCACTTAGTATCATAGTCTCTGCATCCATCCACGCTGCTGCAAATGGCTGAGTAGTATTCCACTGAATATATATACACCACATCTTCTTTATTCATTTGTCTGTTGATGGTGAGAAAATTCCATGCTCGTGTGAAAGATAGTCACATCGTATCAGGCAGAAGTGGGAACTTAGGTTTTTGTCTGATTTGCTTTTGTTATATGGAAGCTCAAATGTGTGAGAAACGTGTGGATGGAGGCTGAATAAAGAGATGCCAGTGAGGAAGGTTTTGCCTGTGCCCATAAACCTTTGCCATGAACCATAGATCTAAAAACATCCTTCACAGCCTGCTTTGTGAGGCAGGGACCAGTGGGCTCCATCAGGAGAGGATGCTGGAGGTAGACAGAACGCCGGAGGAGAGAGAAGGAACCCGCTTCGTCTCTGCTTCCTGCTGGCAGCTGGCAGCTCCCTGGGCCACGATTCTTCCTATTTTTCCTGAAGCAGCAGCTGAATCCAGTCTGCAGTTTCTCCAACGAGCACAAAGGCCACCTCGTCCTGCTGCTGCTGCTGCGCGGGGCTGGTGGCTGGCTGGCACCCCATCCTCGGGGTCTGGGACCCTACTCTTGGTGCAGAGACACCAGCTCCAACTGCCAGTGCCCCGTCCTCAAAAGTCTGAGTGGCATCTCTTTGGCGTCCCTTCTCTGAATTTCCAAATGTTCATAATTCCACCCTCTTTGCTCTGGTCCTCTGCTTCCTGAAGTTACCACCTTGAGTTACTTCAGAGGTTTTTATTTTAACCATCTTAACAAGTGACCCTCTTAATACCTTTGTACCTAATGTGGAATCCCTTCTATTAATTTCTCTCTGGTCAAATCACTGGTGTGACTTCTGTCTTCCAGCAGGACCCTGACGAAGTCCCTCATCAGTGATATGTATTATCAATTTCTTCTCACCTCTGTGACTTTCCTTTTCACTAATTTTAAAAATAAGCTTTTATGCTTTAATTTGGGATGGTTTTAGATTTACAGAAAAACTGCAAAGACAATAAAGAGTTCCCATATACCCCACAAATACACCATATATATGTACATTTTCTTGTATATGCATTTGAGACTCTAAACTTCCCTCCAGGAGTGATTTTAACTGCATCCCACAAATTTTGATATATTGTATCTTTATCACCATTCCATTAAAATAGTTTAAAATTTGTATTGTGAGTTTCTCTTTGATCCATGAGAAATTCAGAGGTTGCTTTTTGGTATCCTTGAGTGGGGTCAAGAATATATTTCAAAATAATCAAATATATGGGTTTTCTTCTAGTTATCTTTTTATTGCTGTTTTATAGACTATGTTTCCTGTGACCCTTTCCAGGTAGGACTTAAATGCTTTGAAACGTATTGAAACTAATTTATGGTCTGGCGTGTGATCAGCTTCTGTATATGTTCTGTGTCCTTGCAAAGAAAGTCAAGAATGTGCAACCTGTGATGGCGGGCTCAGTGTTCGATGAAGTTCCCTTGTGTCCACTTCCTTAATTAGCGTAGGGGGAAACCATAAAACTGAAAGTTCAGTAAGGAAAGGGGCAGATAGAAAGGAGAGTGTTATTGGAATACGATTTGGAGGCCGGGTGTGGAAGAATGGGGACCTGGCCCGGCTGGTTGACAGGGGTGAGTGGGAGGCCTGGACTGGGGACAACATGTAATTACTAAAAAATAACTGTATCGATCACTAGGAGCAAGAATGCTAGTAGCAATAACAACAGCAGTGGCAGAAGTACGCGAGTAAGTGTTAGTCGCCCAGTTGTGCCTGACTCTGCGACCCCCATGGACTGCAGCCCACCAGGCTCTTCTGTCCATGAGATTTCCCAGGCAAGAATACGGGAGTGGGTTGCCATTTCCTTCTCCAGAGGATCTTCCCGACCCAGGGATTGAACCCAGGATTCCTGCACTGAAGGCAGATTCTTTACCGACTGAGCGACAAAGGAAGCCCCAGAAGTACGCAAGCAGCAACACAAAGAGACGACCAATACAGGGCAAAGGCCAACAGTAACGGTGGGAGGTCAGCCTCCCTCTGCAGCCCCTGCTCGAGCAGGAAGTCCCGGCCCGCCCCCGGCCCGCCCCCGGCCCGCCCCCGGCCCGCCCCGCGGAGCCATCGATGACTCCGGCTCGGCGCGCCCGCCTGCCTGGCCTCGGCGCTCGGCTCGGCATGCCTGCGGCGCTGCCATGGAGACGCAGCCCGCCGTCCGCTGGCGCCGCCCCGCGCGTCCCCGAGGCCCCGCCGCGCCGGTGGCCCGGGCAGGACGACTCGGGGCGCGACCCAGGTGACTGGGCGGGCCGCGGGGGGGGGGGGCGCGGGCCGGGTCACCAGGGGCTGCGGGGCGCCGCCGGGCGAGTGGGCGCCCGGGATGCTGGGGAGGCGGTGGGGACGCGCCCTGGGCGGGGCCGGGGGGTCGCTCAGCGGGTCGCGAGGACGTGGCTGGGCGATGGGGGCGCGGGTCGCACGGAGGGGAGAACTTGCGTGGCTGGGAGAGCCGGGGCTGGGCCTACTGTGGATGCGCCCTGTTCGGTTTTCCCCTGACGTCATTTTCCTTCGGGTTCAGGGCCCTCCCGGCTGCTCGGAGAAAGGGGGCGCTGGGTGGGTACCAGCGTGCCCAGCGTGGGCGGGTCCCTTCTGCGCCCCGTCAGATTCTTAGAACTTATTTCGCAGCTCTCCCTGAACATTAGCTCTCCAGCAAGGGGTTTCCCCAGTACCACCCCCCGTAGTTCACAGAAGAACTAGGATGAGGCATCCTTCTGCTTCTTAAACCCAAGCTCACTGCGTCACCGGGGAGCAACCGAAATAGTGGGAGCCTGGGGCTGGGTGGCTTGGTTTAAGGGCTGTGATCCCAAGAGTTAAGGAGGATCGCGTGTCATAAACCGTGCCAGCACCGCAGGGGTCCTTTCCTCTCCTGACATCTGACAGCAGGTTCGTTTCTTTGTAGCATCACCTTGCAGAGGAGCTGAAGGCTAGGCAGAAGAAAGCACTGCACAAAAGGCTGGTCCACATCCCTGGCAGGGATCGGACCGCCTCTGCGCTGCTGAAAGCTGACCCAGGCACAGATCAGGAGGGCAGTTCGTACAGAAGCTGCTGTCGGTTTCTGCCTAGCTTACAATGTCTTTTCACGCGGGACAGTGGCTCTCTCTCTTCAGGTGCAGTGGTGCAAGTCGTGGTGTTGGACTCGCAGTGGACACCTGACAAGTCCCCCCCAAGGTGAGGGCCTCGTCCCTGTCATCGGCACACCTGACTCAGAGCACAGAAGCGTCCCCGGGACACGCTGACCTGCCTGCCGACTCACGCATGGCTCTTGGCAGTCTTCAGAATGCTTGGAGACTCCTCTCCAGTTTCTTCTCAAAGAGCCCTCATAAAGGGTGTTGCCTGCAAATGGCCTGAGTTCCTCGTTACCATTAAGTTCAAGAAGGAATCCTCACACCCAGCTGCTGGAAACCTTATTCGTTAGTGGCACTTAGTGCAGAGCAGGTGGCCCAGGAGAAGGGAGGCTCTAGCCAGTGATGAGTGGCCGTGTCCCGCTGGCAGAGAAAGCTCTGTCTGAAAGCTACGCCCGGCTCCGGTACCGGGACACCTCCCTGCTCATCTGGCAACAGCAGCAGCAGAAGCTGGCATCCGCACTGCCCGGGACGTACCTGAGCAGGAGTCGAAGCATGTGGTACTCACAGTATGGGAACGAGGCCATTCTTGTCCGGGACAGAAATAAGCTGGATGTCTCACGGGACACAGGGCAGTCCAAGTTTTGTTCTATAATGTGACTCTGGGGTGAACATCTGAGTGCAGGCACCAGGCTGCCTTGCTGACCCCCCCCCCCCAGCCCTCACTGGGAGATTCCGACAGGGAATGTGAAGGCTGAGCTGTGATAGAACCCCCGAACCCCAGAGGTGGCACCTCGCCCGCTCGCTGTCAAGGTGATGGGTGGACTTCTGGACCCCATCCTGACCCTGCAGGCACCGCAGGCCTGGCTAGATGCTGTCTTGGTCATGCTTCCAAATAAGTCACACGAGAGATAGCCCAGGTACAAACAACCTTTTCAAATTCTTACAGGTTGTCTCTAGTGTTCCCTTCTGCCTGGTAAAGAATGGGTCAAATCTAAAAAAAGAAAAAAGAATTGGCATCATGTAGGATTGGAAATCCATTGGCAGGACCACAGTGGTTTTACTCTGAACAGGTCATTGGCAGCAGCATTTCAGCAAGAACTCTGTGGGACTTGTTTGAGTCTAGTTACTAAAGCCATCATTGCCCATGATGCACCGTGATGGCTTCTACACTAGCTTCCTGATGTTCGGGGCTGTGGGCAAAGGCATCCGAAAAAATTAGGTAGGGAAACCCCCAATTATGAATTTACACCTCAGGTTTAATCAGAGCTGAAATAGGCAGGTTCCCAGCCGACAGCAGCTCAGCCTCTGCTCGGGGCTGCAATGTTTGATGTGTCGGGCCCCACCCCCAGCCCCCGTGTGGGCGGGTTCATGAGTCAGTTTAAAGGGATTTGCTGTAGTTAGTCTGTGTGGCAAGGCGAATGCCAAGGTGTCTTGAAGCTGAATTTTCTTTTTAAATAAATCTTCAGGCAGCTCCTTCCTTCCTCACTCCGTATTTCAATCTGTTTGTTCATAATATCCTACCTTGGCCTCCAGGGTTTTTGTTTGTTTACAACAGTAACGTCGAACAATTGCTAAGAACTGCAGGGCAGGCAGCACTCCGGGGAGCCCACAGATGGGCAGAGAGATGCACACAGTGCATCCAGCGCTTCCGTGAGCGTGGTTCCTCATGCAGGTGTGCAAACTAGTCAGCACACAGCATCCAGAAGGGAAGGGCTGGGTCAGACTGCATTCCCCGAAGGTCACACATCCAGCCAGAGGCCTGGTCCTCGCTGATAGAGCCTCAGCTTCCTTGCCGCCTGCGGTCGGGAGGCTGGAAGACAGAGTTCCTTTAAGTGGCTCCCCGAGGTGAAGAGGAAGCCTGTCTCATGTAGAGTCGGGCCTGTGCAGTAAAGGCTTGCCCGTTCAGGCACCCGGACACTGGAATCCCCCAGGAGAAAGGCCTTGTCGGCATCTCTGCAGTCCTCCGACTTAAGTCCAGCTCGGGAAGGAAGCAAACTTCTGACTTAGCTGGAATGCCTATGCCTCCTAGAGTGATCCGGGATCGGGCTGTGGCTGGTCGGCTGCAGTCACGGAGGTGGTGGCCGGAGAGCAGAGCGGGCACTGGTCAGGGCGTGTGGGTGGCCACGTGCCCGGGGCTGCTAGGACTCGGCTGGCACTGAGCTGCTTGGTGAGCAGGGAGCCTCCTTACCTCAGGGAAGCCTGGGGACCTGGCCTCCCTGCCGGGGCTGGGACACCAAGGTAGATGTGCTCAGTACCTGGCCTTGGGGAGCGTGCCAAGGAGTGCAGGAGCAGGTGGCCTCAGGCCGACACAGCACGTCGCTGCAGGCCTGGCTGCAACGCCACACTTAGGAAACAGCCTCAACCTGCACTGGTCTCGACGCCTCCTTGGTCCCTCGCCGCCAGGGTCCGGGCCGCCTAGAAGAAACCTCAGCGTGTACACCACCCGATGCGGTTTCTTGAAAACATCCTCGGGCCAGCCGGACGAGCACTGGATCTCAGGAAGCACCTCAGTGTAGACAGAGGGCCCAGTGGGAGAGGCAGACAGACGACAGACAGACAGACAGGTGGGGGGCGGCCTGCAGGCCAGCCATGGGGGCAGCCGATGTGCAAGCCACCAGCCTGAAAGGGCAGCACACAGCGCTCCCGACACAGCAATCCCGGGGTCCTGGGGCCTCCCCGACCTGGGCTGAGGACCAGAGCCACTGGGCCCGCTGAGACCCCTCTGCGATGCTCCGGGCATTCCCACCAGGAGCTACGTGATGTCAAAACGAGGGCCCCTCCCCCCATCACACCAGCCAGAGGAGTGCTGGGAGCCCATAAAGCAGAGACGGCGCCTCTTTTTTTTTCTCTTTTATTATGAAAACAAAACAAATGCCCTAGGAGAAGGGTCCATGATCACCAGAAACAGTACTTTCTACCACTTTTATTCTGTCGTGATGAGGCCAGCACTGCAGTAAACAAGCTAAAACTACTTACATCGGACTCATTTTCAGTAACTGACATTTACAGGAATATACTAGAAACGGCACTAAAAAGTTTAAGAAAAGTTACGGTAAACTTGCATGCACATCATACAGAAAAGTAACATTTTAAATATAAAAAAAGGAAAACTTCCTGGAAGTGTTACGCCAGTATCAGGGAACAGCGCTACACCAGATGTAACGAATCCTTTATTGTGGGCGGTGACTCCCCCCCCAAACTGTAAAAGATGTGAATGTTGCTAAAGAACAAAAACAAAAAACAAACAAAAAAGAAAACGCATTTTAACAGTCTGTAAGCAAGATGAGTGAGCAAAGGTTTCTGGAATTCAGTTCACGGCCGAAGCCGCCCCCTCGGCCCCCAGGGGTTGGGGGAAATGTTTGACAGCCACAATATCGAGTCCTGCATGGGCGCGACCTGCTGAACACAGTCCCTAACCCTCTAGTTCTAGGAAAACTAGAACAACTCCACTTGCCCAACACAAGAGAAATGGAAACAGTAAACACCCATAGGCTGACGTCAGGGGGTGGAGGGAGTCCCCCCAAAACTCTGAAATCAGTTTTGAGTCTGGACAGAAAACCTTAAAAAAAAAAACCAATGACCTACAATCGCTCAGTTCTCCGGCAGCATCAAAGCCAGCAGATCTTTCAGCGGAAAGCAGAGGTGGCTGAGAACCCCTCCCGCACCCAGAAACCAGTGGACAGGAACCGCTCCCGCTGCGCCCAGCACTGGGGCCCCCTGTCCCCCGCAGAGCAGCTGGCAAAGGCGACCCTCCCCACTGGCAGCTGGAGGGGCGCCCCCGGGGAGCTCCCAGTACCTCCAGGCCCCTTGGCTCGCATCTGTCACCCAGACGCATGCCCGCTGCCTGTTGCCCCTGAGATCCTGCTGCAAGACCTTCCAGGGTGTACTAAGTCCTTAAAGTCATAGTTTTTACTCCACTAAAGATCTGTTTAGAAAACACCTTTGAAAAACAGGGCAGCTTTAAAAAAAAATGGCAAGTTTAAAATCCATTTATATTTTTATTACAATGAAAAGTTGAACGAACTGGCTCAACACTCACCAAAGGTCAGAATCAGCGGCAGTCAGAAAAATGGCCACCCTCCATCCATGTTTCATCAGAGTTCCACCCCATCAGAGGGCTCCTTAGCCATTAAGGTTGGTGGCATCCAAGTGGATGTTAGTAATTTTTAGAACCACCACCTGTTAGGACGCCAACAGCTAGTGCCCTGATCCACCCAGAAGGGCTGTCAGGAAGAACGCGACCCTGGACAAGCGGCGGGGCCGCCCCCCAGCCCCCCCCTCTGTGAGGTCCCGTCATTTCTGTGCTAACTGAGAAGCTCACCAGCCGGAGCCCCAGGAGCCCCGTGCAGTCTGGAGGGAGGGAGCCCTCCTGGGGCCAGAGGCTCCTCCAGCCTGGAGAGAGACCAGGCCAGCGGGAGCTGGGCCAGGCCATTGCGG